GACTGGTTTGTGGTACAATTCAAAATAACTCATCTATTGTATGTTGGGTTTAAAACTATACTAAATGTATAAAAATAAAAATAAACTAATTTAGGGAGTTCACAAGGTGTTGTATACTGTCGTACTGTTGTATGTCATAAACTTTAAACGGCGAAATCTATATTTAAGGAATTCGCAAGATAACATCAAAGTTGTATTATGAAATTCCACACAATTAAAAAATAGTTGGTGGTGATTTCAAGTCCTCTAAACATTTATTTAGCCGTTAAAAACTTTACAACATACAGCAATACGACAAGTACGACACCTTGTGAACCACCCAATTGTTTACACCCACGACATTAGCTTTGCGCTTATTTGGTTTTTGTTCGAGAAACCGGAAATAATATTAGGCGACACTGCAATGATGAATTGTTGTAGAGCGCAGTATATAAAATCACGGCACCCAGTCAACACCTATTGTTTTAAATTTTTATTTTCTTTGTGCATTTTACATATTTTACGTTAGTCCTAATTGTCTGGTATGGGTGTTAATTTACATAGGATACATACATACATACATACATCTGTACATATTACTGATACTAATCAGCAAGCTTTTTCTTATTATCTTTTTTTAATCTCTTATAACACTAATATACAGAGCTCTCCCATCGTTACTCGTCGTGGTGCGCAAAAAGCTAAAATACAAACTCGTGCAATGGTCAAATCTGCAGTCACAGCTAGCAAGCCGAGCGCAGCGCTACTTGAAGCTAAACGCAAAGCAAAATTACTTAAAATGGAAGAGCAAAACCAACAGGATCAAGTTGTGAAAGATATTTTCCAAAATGTAAACTGTTATTTATGTTGATTGGTTTACTAACTGCTAATATATCGTATTTCTAGGCTGTAAGCGCTAAATCAATTGTACAAATGCCAACTGGCATTGTTTACGATGAATCTATGGCACAGCATCGCTGCCTTTGGGATGATAATCACCCAGAAAGGCCAGAACGATTCGTTCGAGTACTGGAGAGGTAAGTTTGATTGAAAATATCTAAATATTTGTGTTTAGCTTCGTCAGATTGGGAATTAACAAAAAATCCTTATTTATTGGCGTGCATGCACTTACATATTAGTTGTGTTTAATGAGACTAAAAAAAGAGCAGAGCAGATCAAGTTAGAGCAGAATAGAGCAGATGTGTGTGTTAGACAAGAATGATAGAATACAAGATTGCGCCGATCAGAGAGGATTTTTGAGAATAACTTTTGTGTGACGTCACACTGGTGCAATTGCGAGAGAGAAATGCCAAAACGTGAGCAAGAATGGAAGAAGAAGAAAAAATGTTGCAAGGAAAACGTAAACAAGTTACACAAGTGTGACGTCATGCAAATAACGATTCTGTCAAATTCGTTAAGAAAGGAATAGCGGTCCGAGATCGGCGCAACCTTTGTATTCTCTCAATCGTGTGTGTTAGAGAAACTCCGATCTGAACAGTTGATTTCTAGAGAACTCGTAATTGTAAAATGTGTGTTAGCTTGCTCTAAGTTACTCCATCAAAAAATGCTGGTGCAGAAAGTTGTCCTTTAAGTTCCTCTGGTTCCATTGAGTGCAGGCTCATGAAACAACAAGTAGAACTAGTTAGAGCAAGAAAAATCTTCATGTAACACAATTTGGTGATATATCTTAACCTGACGTAACCTAGAACAGCTCATTAAACACAACTATTACGTACATAATTGCATACATTTTAGATCATATCAGTATTAGAGATGGGCACGGGCCGG